GGTTCATGGCCTTGTGTGTGCACCAGGAAGCGAGGGTGATGATCCTCGTCTGGGGGGCAGTGGTGTTCAGCAGTACAGTTCTCGTCCTCCACGCCGGCGCCCCAGGTTCTGTCCTGGCTGATGCATCTCACGCACAGCCACCACCCGTCAGTGGGGGCTTGCGTGTTGCTGTGATGCTAGACAAGGTTTCAACAGAGCTTCTAGATTAAATGGACTAGGAAGAAAGGCCTGGTGATTTAATTCTGAAAATCAGCCAGTGAAAACTACGGATCACAATGGTCAGAACAACAGCCAGTCACGGGGGACGGCGCAGGACTGGGCAGCATTTTGTTCCGTTGTGCCTGGGATTGCCCTAAGTCGGGGCCAACTAGACGCCGGCTCACGACCACAGTAATGCTTATCTGGGAGCGTTGCTGGATCATTGATATTGATTGAGTGGGACTGAGATGTGCCAGTGCCCTGAGTGCCCCGCGGACTAAGACGCACAGGTGTCCCGCCTGACCGCCCCGCGGACTGAGACGCTCGGGTGCCCTGCCTGACCGCCCCGCGGACTGAGACGCGCGGGTGCCCTGCCTGACCGCCCCGCCGACTGAGACGCGCGGGTGCCCTGCCTGACCGCCCCGCCGACTGAGACGCGCGGGTGCCCTGCCTGCTCTGCGGACTGAGACGCGCGGGTGCCTGCCTGACTGCCCTGTGGATTTCAGATCAGCAAGTGCTGGCTGATGTCCGGAACATTGTGGGCCAGGTCACCTACACCCCACAGGACCCCCGAGACCTCTGTGGACGGCTGCTGACCACTTGCTACATGGCCAGCGAGAACTCCTCCCAGGAGACGTGCGAGAGGGCCAGGGACTTGGCCCAACAGATTGGAAGGTAGGCAGGTGGCCGCTGGTCCTGGGCGTGGGGGGCGACTGTAACAAAGATCAGAGTCGCCAAGACTCTGTCTGTGACCCTGAAAGGATTTAACTTTATCTAGGAATGAACTAGGAGTTTATCCATGCAGAGGTGATCTAGAAGTCTGTCCATCCAGGGTGAAGTAGGAGTTTATTCATCCAGGGGTGAACTAGGAGTTTATCCATACAGGGGTGAATGAGGAGTTTGTCCATCTAGAAGTGGATCCAGTCCCTCTTGAAGTGAACCCGGTTTTAGACAAGCCATGTATGATTTCCACCCTAGTGTGTCTTGATGTCCTTGCGCAGGCTTTGGGGCTCCTTCGCCCATCCTGTGGGAGAAGTTCCCCATGGGGCCAGTTTGGCAGGTGTCAGGGTGGGCCGGTGCTGAGAGACCTGATACCTCTCTCCACCTGCCACTTCCTCCTGCGCCAGCTGCCATCCTCCACCTGCCCCCTCCCGTGTACTGGAAGAGGGTGGAAAGAGGGCTTGTTTCTAGAGAGGAGAAACTCAGTTTTCCTCAGAACGTTCTATTCATTCTGCTGCTTTGGGGAAACCGTGGGGCTGCCCGTCCCGTTTGCTGATGTCGGCAAAAATCTGTCCCTCCGCTTCCCCTCCTGGGCGTGTAACCCAGAGAATTGAAAACCCTGGTTTAGCCACAGCCGTGTACCCCGGTGTCCTTGCAGCACTGGTCACAGCAGCCAAAAGAGGGAA